ATGACCGGAGCGTCCGGTCACCCGTGTTGTGCCAAAGTGAAGGGGTACAATGGCTATATTTCATGGGGCTTCTATTTAAGCCCCATGGCTGGCTCTAGCTCACTCTCTTGGCCATTTGCATTGACATAGCAACCCTGTGAGCTTAGCCAAAGCCCTCCTACCTATCTCCATCATTGATTCATCATCTTTGTGAGATTGGGAGAGAATCCAAGTGCATTGCTTGAGTGTTTGCATCTAGAGGCACTTGGTATTCGTGTTTCGCTACGGGATTCGCTTGTTACTCTTGGTGGTTGCCGCCACCTAGACGGCTTGGAGCAGCAAGGATCGTCGAGCGGAGGGTGGTGATTGTCTTGGCTCTAATCGTGGTGATTGTGAGGAGTTCATGACCTTTCCCCGGTGGAGAGCCAAAAGGTACTCTAGTGAATTGCTCGTGGCTTGTATGATCCTCATCTTGTGTCGGTTGTGCGGCACCCTATTGAGGGTTTGGCGTGTGATGCCAATTAGCGCGTGAACCTCCAAGTGAGTGAATCGTCACAACGAGGAGTAACTTGCCGGCAAGCAAGTGAACCTCGGTAAAAAATTATTGTGTTCATCATTTGATTTTGAGGTGGTTGGTCTTCATTGGTATTCATTTTTGTGATTGATTGGCTCCTTCCTCGACACGGCGGTATAAACAATTTGCTCACTCTCTTTATATTACCGCAAACTAGTTATCAAGCTCTTTAGTGTAGCTAGTTGTAAGAGCTTATTAGTTTGGTTAGTGCGGCTCTTTAGTTAGCCTTTGAGAGCACACTAACTTAGTATAGTGACATAGCAATTGTGTGGATAGAAACTATACAAACTAGAACTGTGGTAGGTGCCTTGCAATTTTAGTAGGGTAGCGCAACACTTGCTTTGCCTCATAATTGTCTAACCGATTTGTTAAGTGTTGTTGTAGAATTTTTTTTCATAGGCTATTCACCCCCTCTAGCCATTAGGACCTTTCACGGCGCGTCATTGGCGTCGAGCTTGCGTCATCGGGGGACAATGAGCTCGGCTCGCTTTCTTCACACACGCCTTCAAGTCTTGTCATGCGAATCTCACGATGGTCCTGGCGATCCTCGGGCGTTGCGGGCCCCGGAAGCCCTCGGAGCAAGGCGGCCATGGCGCCGATGTTCGCTTGCTCGGGTGAAGTGTGGAGGGCTTCATCGTCCTCGATGATCCTCTGGTTCACGCCACGAGCCACAACGCGTGCACTTTCTTTGTCTTCGTGGCGCTCGATCTCTCACTCGAGCTCTACATGTTTCTGCTTTCATTTTGAGTCATGCTTTCTCTAGCTCTTGGTGCTAGGCCTTCAGCTGCTCCACCCGCAGGTGAGGTGGGACCCCTGCATCCCTCTCGACCTCATCGTTGAAGTCATTCGTTGGGGTAGCCTCTTCCTCGTCGATGCTTTCGACGTGTCCCTCGGGGGTACCTGCCATGAAACATTCACGAGAGGGGTGATGGCTCCCCCTGCTGGAGTCAGAGCTAGAGGGCGACTCCGACTCTCCTACGAGGAGGTCATGGAAAGATTCCGCAACATATTTGTGCGTTGCGCCATAAGGTGGCTAATCTGTCTGCTGCGGTGCATGCGACTGCCGAACGGAGCTGGCTGTCGCGGGCGCTCCAGATGAGGTATTCCGGGGAGAGCGGTTCTCCCCCGCCAAGCTGCGTTATGATGTTGGCGAACGAGAAGGTGAGGCGGCCTAGATCCTCCTCGGACGGTCGGGGTCCTAGGAAGGCGCCGAGCTGGCGCTCTAACCTCTCGTAGTCGAACCCGAGGAGCTAGTTGCTCCACAGGGGTGTGGGCCTCCGGTGCGTGCAGCTGTAACCCCTCAGCGCCTCGGCGATCGTGTCGAGGCCAGCGGAGTGGAGAGGTTGGACGGCGGTGGAAGCCACGCCAACTCTCCCTCCGTCGTGACGATGAAGTCCGAGTTCTCGAAGCACATGTGCGATCCTCGAGATCCGGTGGCGTCGTGACTAGCCATCCGAGAGACTGGTGTGGACGCCGAGACGCATAAAAGGCTCCTACCTAGCGCGCAAAAGGCGGAGCCCACGCCCCTGTGGTCGGGCGAGGAGGAGCCCGCCCCTGTGGGTCAGCGAGGAGGAGCCCCCGTGTCTGGGGTCGGTCGGAGTTGTAGTCGCGCTCTTGACTGCTCGGATGAATCAATGTTGATGGTCATTACTCCTCCTCTTCAGGTACCCTAGTATTGGTCCCCGACAACCATATGACTTTCTGTTTAGTTGTGTAAGTAGTATTTTTTCTTCATTATCTTTTTGTTTACCTTGTTTTATAGCTGTGATGTTTTTTCCTAACAATTGAGTTTTGTTCTTTTTCTTGTAAGGGGTGGTAGGCCACGTTGACAGGGCTCCGGCTTCAACTCCTTGCATCTCCTTGTAACTTGTAAGGAGTCTTGTCAAGTCAATCTAAAAATTGTCTCCTTATAAGGAACCTGGAAGCGCCGTTGTTTTTTTTATAGAGGAGACAGAGACTTTTCCAACTCCTCTTTACAACCCAAGTACAAATTATTAGAAAATTACCACTATACCTGTTTTTAAATGTTTTCTAAAACGACTTCAAATCCACCGAGAAGCTCCACACGACGAGCCGGAACCTTTTTATGAGGAGCTGAGCCCTACCAAATGGGTCGTAGTCATTGGAGGGTTTGGTTCAGTTTACCTTGTTAGATGCAGATGTTTGTTTAGTTGTGTTGTTTTTAGTTTTGGTATAGACATGTTAGCATTTCCTTAAAAAACAGGTCAGTTCTCTCCTAAAAATATATTGAAAACTCTTAGCCCGTTTGGATCTTTTGGAATTAAATTCATTCTAATAATTATAATCTAGGCATAGATTAATTAAGCTAATATAGTTGTATATGGGATATATTTATATATTTATTGTTAGGCATAGAAGGGACATACTTATATGTTGTATTTCTATTGTAGGGAAGTGAGTTGAAGAGTGTGTTATAAGTTCGAGAATAGTAGAATTATAGTATAGTTATCTATAGAATCTATTTCATCTCCCACTCTATGAATTTGAGATAAGTTTATTTGTGAGTTTGAAAATATTATGGAATGTCAAATTCTAAGCTAAATAGCTTAATTCATTATGTATATTTTAATTCCTCCAAAATGAAGGGATCAATCGGCCCCTTACAGTTCATTCGGAAAAGGTTTTTAAAACCTTATAAGAGGAACAGTTCCGATCCCAAAAAAACACTAAAGTTTCAATGGTCCTTATTTGAATCCACCCTAAATTGTGGAAGCTAGAATGTATATTGTTGACCATTGAAATCTAGACTGTCAAAACATGGACGGAAAAAGCTAGCCTTTTGCTCAATCCCTAGATCGTAGTGGATGAATCGCACAAGCTGGTAGAAACTAGTGAAGCGATTCCATAATTTAGGCGTGGTTATGGATTGTAAAAGCGAGACCACAAGTTGAACCGCAAAAGCTGGATTCTACGGCGGTGACTCGCTGGCCCAGCGTCTCAAATGCCCACGATGCGTCCTCTCTGTTCAGATCACCTTAGCTACAGAAACAGAACTGTGACCACTGACGCCTCTCGGCCCAGCGTAGACGTCCGTCGAGCCGTCAACCATCAGGCCTACCCTTACCTGCTAAAAAACAGGCGCACCAGCCCACGACCAAGGTTGGTGCAACTGCAAGGCTGTCTAGCGCGCACCGCGCGAGCATACAGACAGGGTTCAGACTGGCTGACGACGGCGAAGACGACGAGCACGACGCCGACACGCGCTGCGGCGGCATGTGCGGCCATACGCGCGCACAGGCACTGGCAGGACAGGCGCGCGGTAATTTCCGCCGCGAGCCGCGCCGGGGACCGTCCCGTCCACACACCTGTTAGCGGCCCCGGCAGCCATGTGCTCGCCATGTACCGATTGACTGATAAGAGATGACTAAAATTAATGGTGGTTAATTTGCTGTGAGAAAAAAAATTGACTAAGCTAGAATTAATGATTGTTGATTTATCGTGAGAAAAAAAATAACTAAAAAAGTGCGCTTTATAAGTCGAGCGAACCGTCCGGTACTGGGGTTCTTCGGTTTGCTAGCTACGCACCATGGGCCATGGCCGCATGAGAAACTCGTCAGAACGCAGCAGCAGCAGCAAGGCTCCAGCAGGAACAGGTCAATCATCTCGGTCGACCGCCACCTACCGCGCGGAGGCCCTGCCGCTTGCCGGCGTCCTTTCCAAGCTCCAAATAGCTGGCCAGTGCCTTTTTCTCTGGGACCCTGCAACTTCAATGAGCTCCATTGGTCTTTCTGGTGCTTTTCTTGCTTCCGAGTCCTTGGTTGGTTGGTTGGTTCGGGAAAAAAAAAACAGAGTTGGATGGACGCCTGTAATGATCGGCCGCGTAGGCGTAGTGCGCTGTTCTTCCCATCACTCCAACGAATGATGAGCGAGCGAGGTGCTCAATTGCCATGACGACCTCAGTTCCTAGTTCCCATCCACGAGATCGTCGAGTGAGACTGAGACGGAGTAGCTAATCATCTCCTCGCAGTCTTGCAGAGGAAAGGGCTGGGAACAGAGCGTGGAGTGGAGTCATCCGGAAATGTGCGCAAAAGCTACTACTAATCGACGTTCCTTGCATCGCCGGTAAAGGCTGACCGAGCGCCGCCAGCTCGTTTTGCTGCAAAACTAAGCTGCTTCGAGTGTCTAGCCATGGCCATGACGGCAATAGTGCGCCTGTACTGCAACTCAGCCAGAGACTCATCAGAAACAGAGAGCTCATCATGTGAACCGATGAACACCACGTCCACTACAGTAATAGTAAATCACTATGCCTACCAAACACTAACAACAGCTTAACAACAAGTACAACCATTTTTATTTCACGGCCAAAAACAAAACTGAAAAGCGAACAAATACAGCGCAATATTTCCTCCTCTGCCCACCGCCCCCGCCACCGCCGCCACCTTCGCTGGGGATGGTGGCACCATCCAGCCACCACGCATCATCATCATACCGTCGCCAAGAAACCCACCAGCGCGAGCACGAGGAGTGCAGGCGCGGACACGCCGGCCGCGGCCACAGCAGCGTTAGGCAACTTGGACGGCGCAATGGACGATGCCGCGCCGCTGTCGCTGCCAGCGCCACCACCGGACGACGTGGCCGGGCCGCCAGCCTCGGGCGCGGGGGAGGGCGACGGGGCCTCGGCCGCCGCCTTGCCGGCGAGGACGAGCTTGCTCTTGGCGTTGAGGTTATCCGCCTGGAACGCGTGCTTGTCGGGGGCGCCGCCGGTGGCCGAGGCCCCGACCTGCCACACCTGATTCACGGCCTTCATCCCCTTACGCAGCTGCAGCTTGCCGTACACCCGGATCTTGCCCCCACTGCCCGCGGCGTCCGCGGCGAGGTCGGTGGCCGGGAAGTCGAGCGGCGTCGAGGCCTTCCCCAGCGGGACGTACCCCGTGATGTTGTACGTCCGCACGGTGGGCGAAGCGGACCCGGACCCCGCCAGCGCCACCAGCGCCTGCGTGCCCGCCATGCCCTCGCCCGTCGGGTTCAGGCCCCACGCCACCCACCCGCCGGGCGCCGCGGGCGCCGCCACGAACGCCACCGACAGGGAGTTCTTGGACGCGTCGTACGTCCAGTGCAGCGACGCGCCCAGCTTCGGGAGGTCCTCGCACGTCGCGTACGCTCGCCCCGCTGGGAACTTCTCGCTCGCGCAGGCGGCGGATGCTAGACGCGTCGCCGCCGGCGAGGCCAGCAGGAGCAGGAGCAGCGCGAGGTGGTGCGGCATTGTGGAGGCGGCCATGCGGGTTTGGCTGGTGGCTTTGGACAGCTCACTCGCTCTCTTTCAGTGCTGTGTTCTTGGAGCTGTTGAATGACTGTGGGGGGATTTATAACGAGAGGAAAGAGGGGTGGGCTTAATCGGCAATTCTGGGCATCTTAGAGGTTGTTTTCGACTTTTCGTTTAGTAGTAATTTTGCTGTTAGGAGGAGTATTTGGACCATGTGGCATAAGATAATGGTGCACGAGTCCCAGCTCACGTGACCTGCTAGTTTTACCTTTGTTGCGTGTGGTAGCCACAGTCGCAGAGACTGTTTGGTCAGGCGATGCGAGGCAAAGACAGTCTGTTTAGTAGGAAGCCTGTAACTGAGAAAATTAATAATAAAGAGATATAACATATTCACATCGTAAATTTAATACTATTTGAGTAATATAATAAACTAAAAAAATAATAAAAATCAATGCATTTTAGTTTTTTACATTAAAATCGAGGACCAGGTTGGAGTACACGCATTTCCAACAAACTAGCAGTAATCACCCCCAGGCAAACAGGTTGGAGCAGACAGACGCTCGTTTTCGTTGGCCTGGGTGAGGCCGCCGACGCCTGGTTCAGGCACATATCCAGGTCTCCAACCAAACGCATCACAGGCAGCGTCCACGAAGGTGACAGGCCAGGCAAGTTTGCTCCATGGGCATGTTCGTTTGAATTTATCAATCGATTTATCAGCTATAATTTATAGTATTTTTTCTCATAATAAATTAGCTTCGATCAATTTATCAACCGACTTTAATACTAACCGAACAGGTCCATATGAACTAAATGGGCCCTAACAAGCTGTGTTGCGGGTCCAAAATACTCGTTGTCAACCAGACCGGAGGATTAATGGACGGACTAAAGTTTAGCTAAAATCTTTAACTAGTTGTTTGCCAAGTAGTCAATAAAATCCAATTAACGGGGCTAACAACCAGCCTGTTCGCTTGGTCGTATTTGGCTTATAAGCCATGGTTTATCAGCCAACGAACAATATTTTTCTCTTCACATCAAACCAGCCAATAGTACTTTCAGCCATGGCTTATAAGCCAAACAAGCCCAAACCAATAGGGCGAACAATAAATTGATGAAAAAGGCTAACAATTAACGACTAGTTGACTAATTTTTAGCTGACTATATATACTTTTTTTTTGCTATAGTTAACTACTAGTCTTACTCCATGCAAACAGACCCTGGGTATATAAAAGCCACTCTTTAAGAGCTCCCGACCGATAAACCAATGGTGAAAAGCTTGAGCGTGGCGGCACCTTTTTTTTAATAACATGATAAATATCCGAAACAAATTTGACTCAGATCGGATAGCCTTGGTTCCACATCAGCTGAACGAAGTGGGCATTTGCAGCAAAACGTGCAAGATGAGATCTCAAAATCGAAGTAACGTCTGCGGTGGTGTGTTTTTTTTCTTCTTTTGTAATTTTATTTAGTCGTAAGAATATAACCACAGAATTTACTTTTTGAAAGGGAGCCGCGTGCCCGCGTCCGGTGCCTAACTCCGCAACGTGCCACAGAGGCGCGGCCACACGCGACGACGAGGCGAGCGAGATTCGCTTGGGCGACGACGAAGGGTGGCGAAAGTAAAAAGCGAGATTCGCTTGGGTCAGGCCTATCCGGGAAATTAAACTAACATCAGACATGGAGATGCAAGCAAGGGCGGCAACACCTCCACGGAGAGACAAACAAGTTTGGTAAAAGAAGTCAAGTGTAAATTGGCCTGGCCTGGCCTGGTGGAGGTTGACGACACGGCGGAGTGGGAGTTTGACGCGTGATCCCAACGGCGGTGGCGAGAGGAAACCGTCCGCCACGCCACGAGCTTCATGTTCAGATTCAGACACAGGTCAGGTCACCGGCGGAAGTGTCCGTTACTCCATTGATTTTCTTCACCTAGCTAGCTCCTGTTGTGCGATGTCTCCTGTCCTCAACTTTTTATGCGAGACGGGTGTTGCATTGCTACCTCACCCACATCCACTGATGGCTGATCCACACGCTGCTGCAGGCCTACCGATCGGTCCCCGCTGCAAGCCTTGACTGAAGCACCGGTCGTTGTGAATCTGATACGGCCATACCATACGAGGGTGGGGTGTCGCGCGCAAATCCGTGCACGCTGACCACCGCGCATTAGATGCAGGTTGGCCGGGGCCGGCAGCGGCAGGGCAACTGGGCGTTGAAGGTTGACCCATCCGCGAATCACGACGGTGATGACTGATGACGAAGGGGGTGACCGTTGCGTGATGCGCGCAGGGTAGCAGCATCCACATGCACTGTAGTATGTTAGCCATGCAGAGGAAGCCTCCCAGGAGCCAACCCAGTCCGGCCCAGTGAGGCTCAGAAGACAAGCTCGGCCCAGCAAACGTGTGAGCGGTCATGAGTGGGTTCGGTATATATATCTGTGATGTTGCCTGAAGAGGGCAGGAACCATTTGTAACCAAAAACTCTGAATTGAATCGTTCGTCGTTCCCTGTCGCTAATCCTTTCCTCCCCTCCAAGTTTCCTAGCTGTTCTTCCCCTTTTACTAGTTGTTGCTAACATTCTGGTATCAGACTTCGCGATCCTGTCCGATTCCTTTCCCCTACGGCTTCTAGTTCATCCTGGATCCCGCCAGCCACCACCACTATACACGTTTTCAGCGATCTCGGGGAGCAATGGAACCTAACATGAAGATGCTGTTCGACGAGCTCGCTCAGCTCAATCGTCGTTTCGACGAGCAGGATGAGCGTTGGACCAGGCGCTTCACCGGCCTGGAGCAGAGCATTTCCGAGCGCTCGACGGCGACCGTTCGCCGCATCGATGCGCTGGAGGCCTCGTACTCCTCCACCGTCAGCGACCTCTCTCGACGCGTGGCTGACCTCGAGTCGGTGCCTACGGATCCGGAGCCCCTCGCCGCCACGGCCCGCATCGCCACGCTTGAAGCGAACTATGCTGACCGCGACGACGTCCGTACTTCGGTATAGAAGCTGGAGAAGGCCCGTGCGCGCGACATGTTCGATGAATTGCCGCAACCAACCAGGCCACTTCCTACTCCTGCCAAGGCGGGCGCGCAACACGCTGCCGGAATCACCGCCGAACCACCATGATGGGGCACCGCGTTGATATGACTACACGAGATTTGGGATCCGGGGTCGTCATGACCTGGATCCCCGTCCCGACCAATGGTACACTGTCGGTTCCCAAAACCCATGTTCTTCATTCACAGGCTCAGTTTTATGGTCATGCACCTGTTTTTCTTCGGCCTCCTCCACCACCGTTACCAATTCCACCTGACCCTTTTCGCCCTACCCACCCACAAGCCTTCTTGGTTTTCAGCCACCCCTTCGTCCACCCTTGCTTGATCCCCATCGACTAAACAACCCCACTGGAAAACTTCCTAAGGTCCCATTCCCTAGGTTTGATGGTGACAATCCCCGTCGTTGGTGTACTCACGCTGAAAAGTACTTCAAGATGTACTTCGTGGAACCATCTCTTTGGATCAGTATCTCTGAAATGGATTTCGATGGTGTTGTGTCTTTCTGGCACTAGTCCGTTGAGTCCCAGATTCCTGACTAGTCATGGGATGATTTCTGTGCTCACATTCATGACCGCTTTGATCGCGATAGGCACGAGTCCTTGATTCACCAATTGTTCCATGTTAAACAAACTACTTCAGTCTCTGATTACCTTTCTCGCTTCACTGAGCTCATGGATCAGTTGAAGGCCTATTCTCCTAAGCATGACCAGCTGTATTTCACCATGCGTTTTATTGATGGATTGTGACCTGATATTAAATCGGTCGTGCTTGTTCAGCATCCCAAGGATTTGGATACAGCTGCTACCTTGGCTTTATTGCAGGAAGAAGTGGCATCTGCTTCCCCATCGAAGCTGCCTCGAGCTGGTGATTGGCATACTGGTCGTTTTCCCCAAGACAACAAAGGCCCTTTGCCTTTGCCGCTTCCCCCTCGGCAGGACAAAGCTCTTTCGGCTGCTGAGGCTTAGGAGTCTTCTGTAACACCTCGGTGTTAAGCATGCATTAACATTTTGCAAATCATGAGCATAATCATTATTATGCATTCATAAGCATGACATGAAATACATAATTGAAACATACTAATGAAACATGTATGTTGCATAGTTTTGTTTTAATAGATTGGATGCTATGTTTGTTTTGCCATGTATGAACCTTGATTGATCACTTAGACCACTTAGAAGTAATTAGGATGCAATTTGGAACAAGGTGTATATTCAAAGTTTTCTCAAATTTTGCTTTTAAAAATAATCTTCTAAAATAGGGTTTTTGATTTAAATTAACTTTAAATCTATAGTTCAAAATCTAATTGGATTTTGGCCTTACTCTTTTTGGCAAAGTTGTAGAGTACATTTTTTTGAACAACTTTTATTTTTACCCCAAATCCTGAAAATAGTTTTTGGTTGCTCAAATTTGTGATTCAAATCAGTTGGGAATAGAAAATAAATTGAAAAATTGATTTGCTTCTTCTTAAGGCCGCGCATACTGTGTCTAGCCAGTGTCGCTTCACGGCCCAGGCCCATGCCCCCGCTGCCTCTCCGCTGCTTGAACGCCGCGCCCGCCTTCCCCCTTTGCCCGGCCGCCACGCTTGGCGTCCGTACCACCAGGCGAAGGCGGTGCTCCGACCGGCGCTTCGACTCAAGAGCCGACTAGACGTGCGCTCCACCCCACTCTCCTCTCACTTGCTGCCTTGTCCCCCTACCTCTCGCTCAAGAAGAGAGCACGCGCGCGACGACTCGCCTCCGCCCCGCTTCGCACCAGTAAAGCGGAGTTGGCTCGTCCGGCCACTGAAGCTCGCCGTCGACCGCTCCATCTCGCCCTGAGCTCCTCCTCCACCTCGTGCATTCCGTGCTAGCACCTTCTCACCGTGGTAAGCGATGAGTCGCCAGAATCATTTCGCTGGAGCTAGGTCGAGTTCATCGGAGATGCGTCGCTCCGTGGACCTCGCCCCTCCGTCCTCCTTCTCGCCTCCTTTTTA